GTACTCTTTCTGCTACTTATATTCTGTCCAGGTAGAACTCACACACGGCTGAGGCCTTTTTAATCCTAGTATTGCACTGCAAATCAATTCCAGCATCACATCTTTAATCCAGCATCACACACTGTAGATCCAGTCACCTCCAAAATGCATGAGACTTTGTGGGACATCTAGACACAAGCCATAACAGCTAGCCTGGGCAACTTAGTGAGATCCTGTCTCAAAAAAAAAAAAATAATAGTTTTATTAATTATGTGGGTTTTCATGCCTGTTAAGATTTGTCTTACATGATTTGGAGCTCAGGTATTTGGTGCATACACGTTTATGATTGTTATCTCATCCCCTTGCAGTTTTCCCCTGACTAGTATGTAGTGACCTTCTTTATCTCTTTTGATTATAGTTGGTTTGAAGTTTACATTGTCTGTAAAGAGATAGCTACACCTGATTTTTTCTAAGTTCCTGTTGCATGGAGGATTGTTTTCCATCCTTTGACTTTTAGTCTATGGATTTCCTTTTGAGTGAAATGTGTTTCCTGTATAGAGCATATTGTTGGATTTCATTTTTTAATCTACTCTGCCAGTCTCTTTCTTTTGACTGGAGAATTGAGGCCATTTACATTTATAGTTATAACTGATATGTATTGATTTATCATTTTCATGTTATTTACTTGTGTTGATGTCCTACTTTTTCTACCTGTTTACTTGCTTCCTCTTGCTGACGTTTCATTTCTACTGTTGCTCTTGAAGTTGTGGTCAGATTTTTCTCTGTCTAGAATATCTTTTAGTACTCTTTGTAATGCTGGATTAGTGCTCATGAAGTTCTTCAATTGTTCTTTGTCATGAAAACATTTTATTTCTCCTTTGAATTTGAGGGATAGTTTTGCAGGGTGCATCAGTCTGTTTGGAAGCAGTTCTGTCTCAGGACCTGTAACACTTCGCTCCAAGCTCTTCTCGATTGGATGTTTTGTACTGAAAAGTCCGCCGTGATTCTGATGGGCTTTCCTTTATAGGTAATCTGTTTCTTTTCTCTAGCAACTTTTAATATTCTATTCTTTTGCGGGCGATCTCAGAAGTTGACTGTTAGATGTCTGAGTATAGTTTTCTTTTGGCTGCAGTTGGTTGGAGTTCTGTATGCCTCCTTTACCTGTATATCAGGTTCTGTTCCCATACTTGGGAAATTTTCTGGTATTATTTTGCCAATATTCTTTTTATGGCAGTTGTGTTGCCTCCTGCTGTTTCATTGACTCCTATAAGTCATACAATATTCCTCTTTGCCTCATCTTGCAGCTGGTGAATTGACTTTTCCTGGACCCTTGTTGATTTTACAAGATCCTTTCTTTCAAGGTCGCTAGCTGCCATGCTGTCTTCAAAGTCTCAGATTCTATCTTCAGCTTCATTCAAGTGGTTTTGGCAGCTTTCAATGGCAGCTTTGTTTTCCTGGAAGTCTCTTTGAATCTGTTTCATGTGTTCTAAGTCCTTTCTATATTTTTCATTTAACCCTTCTGTCCCTTGCCTTTGTTCTTCTATTTTCTTATATGTTTCTTCTTCAGACTTTTTGAGCAGTTCCTTCATTATTATTGTCATTTCATTTTTTGGCTGAGAGACCATTTCTGATCTCATGTCTTCTATGGCCTTACAGAGTTGTTTCTTTACTTCCATTGCAATCATTTCAGCTATTTCAGGCATGTGTTTACCAAGTTCTCCTATGTCGATGTCTCTTGGCCTTTTTCAGAGTTGGGTAGAGTTCTAGGATTTTGTTTTAGTCCTTTGTTTTGTCATGCTTGCTACCAGACACAGAAAGCTCAGTTTCCCTCTTCAGTGGCTGCACAGCAGAGGCCACTAGTATCCCTAATTTTGCTGTTGGTCAGGTTTGCCCCTCAGTGTCTGCTGAGAAGCACTACTTAGTGTCAGGTTTTCCAGCAGTTGTTGATTTGTATCTCTTTATCCCAGGTCTCAGACATGGGCATTGGTGTCAGCTGATGGCAGACCATCTGATCCAGCGTCCCCTTGTAGTTCAGGGCATGTGCACGGCCCATACTCGGGTTGTGCTGGTGTGACAATCCCGGTCCACTGGACCTATGTCCCCAGACAGTTCAGGGTATAGGCAAAATGCAGACACAAACTACAGGGTTGACAGTTTGTGAACTACCTGATTCTGTGTCTCCAGTCAGTTCAGGAACCAGATGCATGCAAAATGGGCTGCAGTCACAGACTGCCTGTGCCTGTGACCCCCTAGAGGGTCCGTGCACAAGTAAAGCACGGACTGGAACCACTTGACCAGCAGCTCTTGGAGCACTCGCTCACTCGGCACAGGGCATTCACAGGGAGGTGCCACATGTGCCCCCCCAGCTAGAGCAGTCCCTGGGGCTTCTGAGTGAGGACCTCTGGTTTACCGCGGGTACCTGGATGGCAGAAACTCAGCCTGTAATGGCGACAGGGTCCTTGGTCACCTGCTCTGCCCCCAGGAAGTAGATGGAAAATACTTGGCTCTCTCCTCGAGTTTCCGCTAGGAACCGTGGTGGTGGGAGTAAAGCACGGACTCAAACCACGGGACCATCAGCTCTTGGAACACTCGCTCACTAGGCATAGGGCGCAAGCAGTGGAGCTGTTCAATTGTTATTTCCTAGTTCCTTGTAATTTTTAAGAGATCTTTACTTTCACAATTGTTAGCTGCAATGCTATCTTCAAGATCTGGAAGTCTATCTTTGGCTTCATTCAAGTGATTTTGTCACTTTCGATAAATTTTTTGATTTACTGTATATCTATGTGAATCTGTTTCATGCATCCTAGTTCTTTCCTGTCTTATTCAGTTAACATTTCCGTTATTTGTCTATGTTCCTCTATTTTTTTATATATGTCTTCTTTAAATATGCTGAGCAATTCTTTCATTGTTGTTGCCATTTCATTTTTTACCTGAGAGATTATTTCTGATCTGATTTCTCCTAGGGCCTGATGGAGTTGTTTCTTTACTTCAGTTGCAATCATTTCAGAGATTTCCAGGGTGTGACTTTCGAGTTCTCCTACGGTGCTGTCTCCGGGATTTGCTCTAGTTGGGGTGAAGTTCTGAGATGCATTTTGGCCCTTCCTCTTGTCATTGTGGATGTCGGAGTGAAGTGCTGGGCCTCATCCTCCCCAGGCAGCTTGCTGGAAGTCACTAGGGCCCCTAGATTTCCTGGTTGTCAGGCTTGCCCTACAATGGCAGCAGGTGTTCCACCAGGTCTAAGAACCTCAGGCACTTTCTGGAATGCCCAGCTAAGATAAGTGCCACGATGACAACAGAGCACTGGCCGTTTTGACCAGGGTCCCCAGGCAATTGACTGTGGGCACCTGGTTCTCAGGCTGATCCACAGTATCAACAGAACATGCAGTGCTGGATCAGGGTCCTCAGGCAGCTGATGGGGCGTGCCTGTCTGTTCAGGGCCTCTGACAAAACTGACAATGTCATTGGGACTTGGAGGACCTGTCTGAGTTCCTTGGCAGATGACTATGGGCTCTCAGGGCTTCTGGGGCTTCAGGAGTGATCCACAATGTCTGTGGAGCACAGGGCACCAGTCTGAGTTCCTCTGTCGGCTGGGTAATGGCGACTCAGTCTAACTTGCACCACAACCAGCAATAACCACGGGGCACGGGACACCAGTTCAAGTTCCCCTGGTGGCTGGGGAATAGTGTGCTGAACTCAGGCATGACTTACAATGTCCACAGAGCTCAGTAAGGCATGCCCCACAATAATCATGGAATGTGGGGTGCCAGTTCATGCTCGCCTGGCGGCTGGGTGATGGCAACCCAGGCTACTACAGGTGCTGTACTAAGCACAAGGCGCAGAATGCGTTTGTGCTCCCCCGGCAGCTGTGTGATGGTGACCCAGACTAAGGCAGGTACCGCACTAAGCAGAGGGTGCAGGACACCAGTTCCTGCTCCCTGGTGGCTGGGTGATGGTGTCCCAGACTAATTTGCGCTGCAACCCGCAATAACCATGGGGTGCAGGGCAGCAGTTGGAGTTCCTGTAGTGGCCGGGGAGTGGTGCCCTGAACTCAGGTGCTACTTAAAATGTCCACAGAGTGCAGTGTGTCAATCTAAGTTCCCCAGACGGCTGGCTGATGATGACCCATACTAAGGCTCACCCCACAGTAACCACAGGGCACAGGGTGCCGGTTCGTGCTCCCCTGGCAGCTGGGTGATGGTGACCCAGACTAGTGTAGGTGCTGCACTTGGTAAAGTGGACTTTAAGTGCGCCTGACTAATAGGGCACAGTGTTCTCATGACATCTGTAAAAATCATTTTAAAATACAAAATTTTACCTCAGAGAAATAAGAGACAGATTAGCCCTAAGAAGAAAATCTTAATCCAGGTAAAATTTAAAACAAATTTTGCAAATAAGAAAATTTTTCAATGTAAACATTTCTGGAGTCAAAATGTAACGTTATTGTCAGAAATCATTTCTGTAATTTGAGACAAAATGTATACTAAAGGTTAAGATAATAAGCGAGGAGCCATAATATTCTAAATTGTAATACATAGTCCAGGAAGGAATCAAGTGGGATAACTAATAGAAATTGAGGGAGCAGACTCTTGCCTGAAGTAGTGATATGCATGTGCAGCCATAGCTGGAGGCAGATGACAAAGCTGAGCAAATCAGCTAGGAGATGGTGGGACCAAGGGCCAGGTCCAAGGAGGCCTGGGAAATGTGTGAGAAGACACACAGGTGGGCCAAGGAGTGAGTGTGCAGACTTCTAGTGGGAGGCAGGAAGCAATAGGTCATGATGTCCTTTCAGGAACAGGGAACTGTCCTCCCATTTTCTTGGCCTGGGAAGCACCGTTCAGAGCATACAGTTTACCTTGCTTTCTCTGTTTGTCAGAATCAGAACTCCACTGCATGGTGCTCCCACCAGTCACCAGTTGTGCTCCCTTCCATGGGCCTTGAAAATGCACACTTTCAGAATCACTTCTGTGTGAGATACTTTGAACCTGGAAGGGATTCATGTTTGTGTGTGGTTCCTTCCTCAGCATTTCTGGATTGAAAGTGGTGGGGGAGTCCTTTTCTCCAGCATTTCATCTTCAACTGGAAGACAGCACTGGATCTCGAGAAAAAGATGTGAAACTACTTCAGGAAATCATAAGTCAGGTAAGGATTCATTTACTCAGGTGAGCCTCCCCACACCTCTTCCACACCCCCAGAAGTTTTTTCATGTCATTTTTCCCTGAGAGATAGGATATCATGGCATTTGTTGGTCACCACATTCATGACATGGGCCTGTTCTGCTGCTGCTGGCCCTTCCTAACTGCCTCTGCCTGATTCAGAGGGTGCTGTATGGATAGACCATGGACACTCCCTCCCATGGAGTCAATTCCATTCCTACTGTAGTAGCTACACTCTGTGACACACTGTATTTAGATATACTTCTTTTTGAGCAGTAGTCAGCTCTAAACAACTTGCTTGCTCGCTATTTGCACAGTCAAGCTCTGAGGCATGCACCTAGGGAGCATGTGTGTGGACTCACACTCCCAAGACAGCTACTGACCCAGGTGACCCCCAGAGCAGCTCAGAGACAGCCATTAACTATTATTATAAAGTCATAATGCTCCTGTAATTAAGGAAGAAAGAAGGAGTACCCTGTAACATGCCTAACTTGGGAAACATGTTTAAATTCTTTGTTGTCTGAAATTCATTTTCCTAGTAATTACAACTAAGTTGTTGACAAGCCGCACATCACTAGGAAAGCCTCTTTCCCTGGCCTCAGCAGCGCCTGCCCGAGAGCCTCCCTCAGGCCTTTGGTCTGGCTCCCCCTCCTGGTAAGGAGCCCTCCATGGGTCTAAGGTACTGAGCAACTTGTGGGTGAGAGCAAGGATTGAACCCAGCCCCTTTGCACTGAACTACATCCCCAACCTGGTTTTTTGTTTTTGAGACAAGGTCTTGCTAAGTCACTAGGTTGCTCAAGGTGGGCTCAAAGTTGCAGTCTTCCAGCCTTAGTCACCAGAGTGCTGAGGTTACAAGTGTACACCCTGTACCTGTTGTAGTATGCCTCTGAGGATGAAAACGGGTTGCATTCTGTGTCTTTGTCCTGCGGGAATTCCATCCCGACTCCTGGCCTAACGCAGGGCTGCTGGTCATCTTGAGTTCCTGATGGCTGCCGCCTGTCATGTGCCTTTTGTCAGGCAAGGCCCAGTACCAGGCTTCCTCCATCTGTGTGATATCTCAGCCAGGTGTTTGTCAGTCACATGGCTGCTCAGTCTGCAGACCAAGCTGTGAGGGGCACTGGCTGCAGAGCTCCTTTCGCTGTCCTCCATCCTACACTGTCTGAACCATTGGAATGATGGTTCCACAGAGGGCTGCACACAATCTATTAAAAAACAAAAACAACTACTATCTGAGATTACTGATTAAGGGAAGTTGTCAGAGTGTGAGTGGTCAGGCTGGCTGGCCTTAGCTTGCTGGGTAATCCCCTCAAGTTCAGAGGACCTATGGAAAGAGAGGCACCTTTATGGTAGAGAAGCATCCCACTGCCCCCTTGACTGCTACTGCCCTGGTGTTTTTTATATACAAACAAAATGTAACTTGTGACTCAAAAACTTAGACAAAGGTAAAACCAAAACAAGTTTATAGGTTCAATACAAATCAAGTAGACAAGGTAGCACACATCAAACTCCACATGTTACATCCATGTGATAGGTGAGTTTGGTGTTTTCAACAGAGTTGCCCTCATTTACAGGACTGAGGCTAACAGCCACAGAATGGTCCTGGTAAGCTACGTGTGCTTGTGTTGAATCCTAGACTCTGTCTGCCCTCAGTCCATCTCAGGATAGGTATCTGCACATGGTCCTGTGGTGTGACACTGGCCTTTTCTAGATGACAGGGTGTCCACTCCATATTAAATCCCTCTGTTTCTTGTTCTTAATTGAAATAGCTAAACTGCTTTGTTCCAAAGAGAGACATAGGGGCTGTTATGCATGAGGTGACTTGACAGAACCAACATAGAAGATGAAAGTCTATGGGCAGCTGTCAGATCCTGAGTTTCTATGTGTAGGCCACCCTGTGATGCTGGCTATCTTAGGGGATCATTTTGAGTATTGAATGAGAGTAGTCGGGGACAGAGAACAAAATACTATCTGGAAACCTCATTTATGGGAAGAAAACAGAAAGAAATGTCTTACAGCTTCTTTATGTCATAATAGCTTCCATCTTCAAAATCCTTAGCATCTTTTGCCCTGCTTCTCTTTTTCTTACTTGGGGAAAAAAGAATCATAGCAATTCTTGTTACATTTTGTAGAACCAAAAGTTTTGCCAAGTTTAGGTTGAGTTGTTCAACAAGATGCTGTTTTCACAAACTAAGCTCTGGTTTGGACTGTGTCTTACGTGGCCAGAGCCAGGCAGTCAGGCCACGTGTCATGAGGCCTCAGGCCTCCAGGTGTACTTCCTGAGAGAGGAGTCAGCAAGAGGCTATCTGTGCCATCCTCCCTCACAGCTGACAGCATGGTCTTTCTTCAGGCAGATAATTTTACTGCCAGGCATTTGGGGTGATTTTCTTTACTTTATGCTGCCCACTTACAACCCCACCCCCCACGTAAAATTCACCCCTTTAAGTATACAAGTATATTCACAAGGTTCTGCAACCATTACTGTCTAACTGCAGAATATTTCCGTTGCTGCAAAAGGAAGCCCCTGTAACTTACTCATTTTAGTGTTTGTGCTTTCTTTATTTTAATAGAGAACATCTTAACATAAAAAACAAAAGACTTGTTGACAAGTGGTTAATATATAGGCAAGCTATGCAAAAGCTGGGTTAATACCAGACTTTTCAGTGCCTGGTAGCACCTTGCCCAAATGGAACTTCAGGACGCAGTCATTTCTGTGTGTATTGAAGTGCAATAGTTTCTCCCTGATACAGTCCTGTTGGTGGTGTTTTCAAATCCAGCTCTAGGTTGATCCTTAGGGATTTGCTTATACTGCTCCCCTGGGTTAGAACTCAACTTTGTCCGAACAGCACCCCCAAGCTACCTATGGCTGTGTAAACTCACACTGAATAAAAATATGTATAATTGGACACGCAGCCTTGCAGGAACATGAGCATACTCATTGTTACAGAAAGCTCTGTGGAAAGTGAATGCTACTTACAATGTTGTTATGGTATTTCAGTTTTGTCTCCTAGCAGTTATAATTGGAATTAAAGCACTGATGAGAGCTTTCCGGGTACCTTCCTGTTTCAACTACAAGTGTCTTGAAAATCCAGGTTGCTAATATTTGCCTTTTTCTCCCTACAGTGCATGGACAAAAGTATTGCATTAACTCAGGCATGCTACTTGGAGAAAGAAGAAAAATGCCTCCCTCCTCCAAGGTTGGTTGACATTAAAATAGGACCATAATTTTCTTTCCTCCTTTAGACTTCGCATGAAATATATTGTGTTTTGAGAATTCCCAAGTGACTCCCCAGGACAAGGAAGAATGTGCTTAAAATACTGCAGACTACCAGTTCTCAAACCAGATGTTTTTAAATTTTAACTGAAAAGCACCTCAGAACTCAATATCTTCCTAGTTAACAGAAATATGTGGGATCCCAAGAGTGAAGTTGAACAAACAGGTTCCATCCAGCTAATGTCTGCCATGTCCAAGGGCAGCCTGTACTATGCCTACAGCTCCAGCTGCAAGACAGTCCTACTAGGAACATACGCAGTCTCGGTCAGAGTGCATTTGTACTTCACCCAACCAGTACCGCAACACCTTGGGAAAGCGGGGAAGGTCCACAGCCCATACACTCACTCACAGTTAAAGTGAGGAAAGAGACACTACATTCAAGCCATTGTCCTGGGTCAGACTGCAAAAAGAGGCACAGTCAGCTCTGTCCTGAGATGTCCCTGAGGTTTCTGAGAGCAAATGCTGCCCTGTGGCTGAAGAAATGAGCTCAGACATCACCAGCTTTGAACAGTTCCAGTTAGAATTGCACACTTCCCATGGTGTAAAAGCACATCCACACACCACTCTGTTTTGTACTTTCAAGACAGTATTTAGTAAGTTGCCCAAGAAACCCAACACTTTTTTATAAAATAGGCCTTGTGTGAGATGCCTTTTCCCAGCTCTAGGCTAACATAAATATTCTGGGCACATTTAAAGGAGAATAGACTCAGCTGTGAGTTTAATAGAATAGGGGTATTAAATGCAGTGTCCACATAGGGTGGCTTTGTTGGAATTAGTGCCCATCATGAATCCAGGAATGTGCTTTGCCTCTGTCAGGCACCTGGTAGGCCTCATAGCCCTTCAGCAGATGAGTAGTATGAGCTTTGCTTAGGGTTTACAGTGGCCCTGAGACTTCCAGGTACATCTTTAAGTCCAGAGCAGAAGCTGCAGACAGGCTAGGGAGACACAAGAGAACCCTGAGGAGTCTGAATGCTCTGCATATGCAGAAGGCCAGGCTGGGAATGGAGTAGCTCAAAGCTCTGCCCCTCTTTTTACCACATTTACCTTCATATTTGATCCTGTATGTATTTGGTGAAAATGCACATTCAGGACAGGACCCATGCTTGGTTGGTAGCTTTATTGCTTGACCCACAAGTACACTAGGTAAGTAAGTGTCTGCTGAAGCAGTTTATTTACAAAGGAAAGTGAAGCTCATTTCTTTTTTTGATGTGGAAAGTGCTTTGGATTGAACCCCAGGCCTTCTTTCTAAGCAGTATCTCCAGCTTTTTTTTTTTTCTGGTCTTTTCGAGACAGGGTCTCGCTATGCAGTTCACGCTGGCCTTGGGCTCACTTTGTAGCCCGGGCTGGTCTCAAATTCACAATTCTGCCTCAGCCTCTCGAGTGCTCTCAAGCCCTCTTTTGTTTTGGAGACGATCTCACTAATCAGTTACCCAGGCTGAGCTAAGTTGCTTTACCCTCCTAGATTGTTGTGATTACAGTGTGTATAACTATACCTGGCAAACTCATTTCTTTACATTCCTAAAAACTTCAAAATGTCTGCCTTGCCTCAAAATGTCATAGGAAATCTACACTGCTTATTGAATTGTGAATAGGAACAACCACTCATCAGTTTGAAAACGTTGGATTCCTACTTTGTCTGGTGCTGCTTTTGGCAGCTGATTATTGACATAGTTCCTGGCTTCCATAGCAGAGCCCATAGCAGGTCACCCTGAATACATACACACCAGAGTATAAGCCAGACACCAGACACTTTTGCCAGTGACCAGACAGCAAGTATATTATGCTTGCAGGTCCTCATGTCCCTGTCACAGCTATTCATCTCAGCCGTGGTAGAGAGACAGTACTATAGTTGTAGAAAAGAGGTAGTGAGTAAGTTAAGTATCAGCAGAACATTATTTACGTACAAGTGACAGTGACTGCTGAATTTGGCTCCCTGGCCATAGGTGACTGACCTCTGGTGTAGTCTCTCATTTGATTTTTTTTATGTCCTTTGTTATTTCAGCATCAGAGTTGTGGTCACAGTGGAACAGACAGAGGAAGAGCTGGAGAGAGCTGCATCTACCATCAAGGAAGTAGCGCAGGCTGTCCTGCTGTAGGCCAAACCCAGCACCCTGTGGCCCCCATCATGAACATGCAGACAGGACTCCTCAGAGATACCTCAGGAGAACTCAGTGATGTCTAGTGGGATTGTTACCAAGCAGTGTCAAAATAGACCAAATGTGTGACTGAGAGAAGGGTGGATGTTCATTATTTTTACAAGGAAACATTTACACACCCAAGAATTGATTTTTTAAGGGGAAGGCTAATGACAGTACCTACCCTAGTGTTTAATTTCTTCTGTCTAGTATTGTTTAAATGTTTTATTGTAGTACTATTTTTTATTGTTTTTGTTGTTGAAACTGGAGCTTTAGTTTCTCTTCTCTCTCTTCTGTGGTAATGATTCTGTAAGCATACCTTAATAGTTCATAAAAACAACTTTGCAGTAATTCATGCTAAGAGGAACACTTTGGTGATGTGATAACATAGTTTACTACTAAAGATGTAATTCAACCACATCTTTTCCATTCTTCATCATGTAAGGTGGCTGACATGCAAAGAAACACTTTTTGTGTAATTATTATAAATTTCATTATCTATGGACCCCAGAATTTAATACACACTAGATACTGATATGATACCATTTCTAATCTGAGTATCCCCAACAAGAGAATATTTGTTCTATTTCCTAAATGAGCAATAATTTCAGTCACTTTTATTTTAATACAAATATTGACCTTTACATTTATTAGGTGTAATTTATTATGCAAAGAGGGTTGTTGTGTTGATCCAAAGATGTAAATCATGTCCTAGATACTTTAAAATGTCTCAGATGTGCTTTTTTTTTTTATAGTGGGTTTGCTGGGGAGATAAACCATGGCTTTTTACAAGCTAAGGAAAATGAGAACTTTTGCTCTTCATTTATGAGTTCTACATATCTATGAAAGCTTTAAAAAAATTTTAAGCTGTACTGTAGCTGTTTTTTCTTTAGCAAACCAAGTTAAATGATATAAAGGTTTGTAATATGTACCACAAAATAGTACATAAATATTAATTTCATCTTGTCTTATTTGAAAGCAAACAAATTGGAAAAATAAACACAACTTTATAATCTATGTTCATACTAACAAATGTTCTTCAACATATTTTTAAATGACACATTTTTTAATGATTAATTTGTTTTGCTTGAGGTATTTCATACAGATGTGCCTTGTGATTGCTGCTGCTTTAGAGGATACAATACTGTCTAGGGGATGAATCTCTTTTGTTTTGTTTTTTAATGAAATAAACCTACATTACTGATGACAAGTCTGTTTGCATAAGTAGTGTTCAACAGTATAATCTCTTAATTTTAGAAATGTTTTGCAAATTTACAGCAGCATTCTTTTTGCATGTACTTTTATTTTGTTTTGGGAAATCATTTCTCAGTCCCTTTCTTCATAGCTGTTATTGCTTAAATCAAAGCCTGTGGAGCCCCCACCGGCTCCTATGTTGAAGGCTTCATTCTCATGCAGTGGTAGTGCTGAGAGGTGGGGCTTTGGGAAAGTGATTGGGGTCATAAGGACCCTGACGTCATCAGTGGATTTACCTATTGATGGATTCATAGTTGATGGGTATTAGGAGATGATGGAAACTTAGGCAGTAGGACCTACTTGAAAGGAATGGATCCTTGGTATGCTTTTGAGGGGTATATCTTGTTCCTGGATGTTGGTTCTTTTTCTTTCTCTGCTTCCTGACTTGCCCTTCCACATGTTCCCACTACCATGGTGTTCTGATTCATCTCAAGAATCTCTGAAACCATGAGCCAGAATAAACCTTTCATCCTTTACATTGATTTTCTTAGATGTTCTGTTGTAGTAACAGAAAGCTTTTTAACACAATACCCAACCAAAGAATACATATCTGACATTTCTTAGATTCCTGATTTAATGACTGGCCACTTAGGACTACAGAAATACTAAAGTCATTTTTCTTCTAAACAAGAATAGTTATATTTGGGCTTTGTTTATAATACTTTATAGCATCTAGGTGTTTCTTGCTACCTTTTTAAAAATGACCAGAAGTTTCTGAAAAAGGTGGAACAATATGTTACTTTAATCCTTTACACACCAACATTTTAAATAAAAAGAACCAAAGATAATGTCTTTGTATTAAAATTAGAGTGACCACAATCCAGTAACATATACCACATAAACTGTATGTCTGCTAGAAACATTGGATCAAATTGAGGCTTAATGCTGAAAAATGAATAATTTTATATCTGAAGCAGGTTACAGATTTCTCTTTTACAAAGAGTAAAAGGGCTCTAATGTGCCTTGTCAGTGATCTTCTATTTTAAAGGCAGTGGCTTGAGGGAAATGGCCTGAAAACCACTCGGAACCCATTTCCACTCAACATGGTTGGCCCAGGGGAAAGGGAACAATTGCTCTTTTTTTTTTTTTTAATCATGTACAACTAGATTCAGCTGGAACTCAGGAAAAGTCAAGCTTTAAGGCGCATCTTTCCATCAAATTTGGAATTTCACTAATTGTACCTTGTACTAGTTGTACACTCAGATTATGTTCTATGAGAAATTATTCTGCTTTCATAATCCACGTGTTCTAAGAGATTAATCAAAATCAAAGATATGAGAAGTAGTAGAAAAGGCACATTTTAAAATTATGAAATAGGATAATAAAAAATCCAGTGTGTGAGCCTGAGACTACTCTCCCTGGTGGACATAAAACTTTGGTCCAGAAGTAGAGATGTCCAAGCAAAAATATGATTACCGAAATCCAAGTATCTCCCAACCCCACCCCCCAAGAAAAAAAAACTAATAATAACTTCAAATAAAAATATCCATAACCTACACCTGTGTGATCCAGCTCTAGAACTGTCTGGGGAACTGGAGGATTACTGAAATACAGATAAAGTAGTAAGTCATCTCAGCAGCATATGAGGAGAAGTAGTAGAGTGTTTTCCAGAGATTCAGAGGAGAAAGTGTGAATCAAGGGTTTTATATACCCAAAGGTGTCTTTCAAATAACAGGGTTACAGAAAAACAGTGTAAATATAGAGGTCAATGTTGTATTCCTGAAACATCAATAGGTGATATCAAGAGATGATTACATTTCACCAAAGAGCTATTTAGCAATGAATATTTAATTAGATACAAGACTAGGAAGTAACAATGTGGAAATTAATGTGTAAATGGTACCTAATCTGACAAGTAGAAATGATGCTAATTACTGGTAGATAAGAGAGGAAAGGCAGAAAACTGCAGCTGGCCTATTAATTCAGTTAATAGGGTACAAGGACATCAAATAAAAATGAAATACTAGGAAATTAGAGGAGAAACACATTAAGGAGTTTTGATTATAATTAGTAGGGCAAAAGCACAATCCTTCCTGAATTCTTAAGAAAAGCACAAAGGGGCATTACAGACAGAGTCTCTGCCCTCCCTGCACCTGTAGCAGACAGGAGGTCCTCACTGAGAAGCCCCAGGCACTTCTCTGGCTAGGTTGGGCACGTGTAGCCCCTCCCTGTATGTGCATGCCTTACACTGAGTGAGCAAGTGCTCAGGGAGCTGCTGGTCCCGCAGTTTGAATCCATGCTTTGCTCACACCTCACAGTTCCCAGCTGAAACCCGCGGAGAGAGCCAGGTATCTCTCATCTACTTCCTGAGGGCAGAGCGGGAGACCCAGGACCCTGCCACTATTACAGACTGAGTCTCTGCACTTCCTGCACCTGCAGCAGACAGGAGGTCCTCACTCAGAATCCCCAGGGACTTCTCAGGCTGGGGGCATGGTGTGTAGCCTCTCATTGTGCTCATGTGTCCTGCGCTGAATGAGCGAGTGCCCTGGGAGCTGCTGGTCCCTTGGTTCGAGACTGTGTTGTACTCAAACCACCATGGTTCCCAGCTGAAACTCAAGGAGAGAGCCACATATTTCCTATCTGGTTTCTGTAAGTATCCTGAACTGACTGGAGACACAGAATCAGGTGGTTCACAAACTCTCGACCCTGTAGTTTGTGTCTGCATTTTGCCTGTACCCTGCACTGCCTGGGGACATAGGTCCACTGGACCAGGATTGTCACACCAGTACAAACCGAGTTTGGGCCCTGCTTGTGCCCTGAGCTGCAAGGGGACGCTGGATCAGATGGTCTGCCATCAGCTGACACCAATGCCTGCATCTGAGAATGGGGATAACTAGATACAAATCAACAACTGCCAGAAAATCCGAGACTAAAGTAGCGCTTCTCAGAGGTCACTCAGGGAAACCTGACCAACAGGAAAACTAGGGACAGTTTTCTTTGCTGTGGCATTTGCTGTGCAGCCACTGAAGAGGGAAACTCAACTTTCTGCATCCAGTAGCAAACATGACAAAAGACTAAAACACAATCCCAGAACTCCACCCCACTCAGAACAAGTCCAGGAGATAGCGACATAGGAGAACTTGGTAAACACATGCCTAAAATAGCTGAAATGATTGCAATGGAAGTAAAGAAACAACTCCATAAGGCCATACAAGAGATGAGATCAGAAATAATCTCACAGGCATAAAATGAAATGACAATAATAATGAAGGAACTGCTCAAAAAGTTTGAAGAACAAACAATAAGAAAATAGAAAAACAAAGGCAAGAGTCAGAAGCATTCAATGAAAAATATAGAAAGGACTAAGAATGCATGAACTAGATTCAGAAAGACTTCCAGGAAAACAAAGCTGCAATTGAAAGCTCCCAAAACTGCTTGAATGAAGCTGAAGATAGAATCACAGACTTTGAAGACAACATGGCAGCTAGCGACCTTGAAAGAATCTCGTACAATCAACAAGGATCCAGGAAAAGTCAATTCAACAGATGCAAGATGCAAACAGGAATAATGTATGACTTATACGAGCCAGTGAAACAGCAGGAGACAACAAAACTGAAATAAAAGAATATTTGCAGAAATAATAGCAGAAAATTTCCCAAGCATGGGAACAGAACTTGATATACAGTAAGGAGGCATATAGCACTCCAAACAACCACAAGCAAAATAAAACAACACCCAGACATATAATACTCAAGTTCCCAGATCTCCAGCAAAAGAAGAGAATATTAAAACTTGCTAGAAAAAAAGAAACAGATTACCTATAAAGGAAAGCCCATCAGAATCACGGGAGATTTCTCAGCACAAAATATCCGACAAAGAAGAGTTTAGAGCAAAATATTACACATCCTAAGAGAGAACAGCTTCCAAGCAAGACTGATGTAACCTGCCAAATTATTCCTCAAATTCAACAGAGAAATAAAATATTTTCACAACAGAGAACAATTGAAGAACTTCATGAGCACTATCCAGCATTACAAAGAGTACCAAAAGATATTCTAGACAGAGAAAAATCTGACCACAATTTCAAAAACAACAGTAGAAATGAAACATCAACAAGAGGAAGCAAGTAAACAGGTAGAAAAAGTAGGACACCAATGCAAGTAAATAACATGACAATGATAAATCAATACACATCGGTTGTAACTATAAATGTAAATGGCCTCAATTCTCCAGTCACAAGAAACAGACTGGAAGAATGGATTAAAAAACAAAATCCAATGATATGCTGTATAGAGGAAACACATTTCACTCAAAAGGAAATCCACAGACTAAAAGTCAGGATGGAAAACAATCCTCCCTGCAAAAGGAACCCAGAAAAAAGCAGGGGTAGCTTTTCTGTGTGCAGACAATGTAAACTTCAAACCAAATAAGCAAACAAAAGAGATAAAGAAGGTCAATACATACTAGTCAGGGGAAAACTGCAAGAGGATGAGATAACAATCAGAAACATCTATGCACAAAATATCAGAGCTCCAAATTATATAAGACAAATCTTAAAAGGCATGAAAACCCATATACTTAATAACACTATTGTAACAGGGGACCTCAACACCCCATTGACACAGACATAGGTCAACTGGACACAAAATCAGCAAGGAAAAAACAGATCTGAACAAAAGCTGTGAACAAATGGACTTAATATGTGTATACAGAGTGTTCCACCCCAAAACATCAGAATGCACATTTTTCTCAACAGCACATAGGTCTTTCCCTAAAATAGACCATATCTT